GCAGAAATCACGAGTCTATATATGGATTTACATGTGTGTTTACATGGATCCTTCCTCGATGATTCATACTCATCCTTAAGTTAGATAATCATGATATTTGGAGATTTCGGATCTAGTTTAGGGTTTCTAACTCTATGCATTTTCTGTTTACGATTTACGATTTGAGTTTTTAGGGAGTTGAGAGCAGAGCTGGATTTTTCCCGCATTCAAAATCCTCTCTTTCCCCCGATATCTTTGTTCGTGTAAACCATTTTTCCATGCGTCTTGGAGAATGCCCATGTTCAACATACGATAGTATATTTCTAACCCATTATGATTCTATAACTTAACACACTTTGAACAAAAGGATCGAGCAGCTTGGTGACACGTTTTCAACACGTTCCACATACAAAGCAATTTCACAAAATTGAAAAGGACACCGATTGCCACAATTACACAAAACTTAAGCATTATTAAAACAATTTTTGTTTTAAACAAGAAATTGAAGTATAGGTCCATAATCTCTTCGAAATTAAATAAGGAAAAAACATGTTAATATTAGTATTTTCCCCGTGGCCAATGCTTAAACATGTTAATATTAGTATTTACTTCTTTGTTTAAAGATTTTAATTGATTCGATGGTTGAACTACTAATGCCAATATGCAAATCGCGAAAAAACAACAACAAAAATGAAAATAACTCCAAGGAAGTAATTTCCTCTCATCCGTTATTTACCCTTTCCGCTTATTTCTTGATTGTTTCCAGTTCAATATGTCAATATGCTAATTTTATAAATTTAAAGAAAAAAACTAGTGTATTTCTTGTTGTCTTGGAAAATCCTTTCTCTGGTCAAACGTAGAGAGAATCCCTCATCAAAACATTACCTTCTAAAGGTATAATTTTTATATTTCACAAAAAAAATAAAAATTAGTTCCAACGTCGTCCATAATCACAATCCGGAAGATGTATAAAGGCGAAAATGGGGCCAAGGAAGCATCCATCATCATGATAAAAATCGAACTAATTATTTGTTTTATTCCTTACCCAATGTACAAAGTAGTGAACTAATTATTTGTTTTATTTAAAAAAAAATACAAAAATAATAGTCATATATACGTACATTGACGTCTCTCCTTTACATAAAAAGAAGACTTGTTCAAAGAGAGATCATCACAACATGGATCATCATCAACATAATTTCTTCTCTCTTTGTTCATGTCCGTACGTTTTCAAGATCAAGAAACATTTCTTCGTCAGCTTTATCTTTCTACTTAGCCTCCTCATATTCTCAAGCGTCGTCATCGTCATCAATCTCTCCTCCTTCGAGCCCTTACTTCGTTTCGGATTGTTCTCTTCTTCTTCGTCGCAAAGCCTAACAAAAGATTGCGATTACTCAAAAGGAAGATGGGTTCGTCGAACATCATCATCGTCTCTTGGGTTGTTATACGGAGAAGATTGTCGGTTTCTTGATCCTGGTTTTCGTTGTCGTAAGAATGGAAGAAAAGACTCTGGTTACCTTCAATGGCGATGGCAACCACATGGATGCGATCTTCCACGGTAAAACATTGTGCCACGTCATCACTCTACGTTTTCTTTTTAAACTGATTGATCTCCATAAAATAGAATATTGTATGTGTTTCTTGCTTAGACCTTAAGTTATGATGATTCCAATTGCAAAAGGCTTTGGGCTACAAGCACTAGGGTTTAGGGTTACAAGTTACATATATTCCTCTGACAAAAGAAAGAATACCATACAGTTCACAGTCGATTTCTTTGTTTCTTGCAGTAGGGTCAAAGATTCATCAAGAAAAAGTCTTGAAACTTAGTTTTGGTACTATATGTAACCAACTATACGGGTTTTTTTTTTTTGTTGGCTAGATTTAACGCGAGTGATTTTCTCGAGAGGAGCCGGAACGGGAGGATAGTGTTCGTCGGAGATTCCATCGGAAGGAACCAGTGGGAGTCTCTCATGTGCATGCTTTCACAAGCAATACCTAATAAATCTGAAATCTATGAAGTAAATGGGAACCCTATAACTAAACACAAGGGCTTTCTATCGATGCGATTCCCTCAGCAAAACCTCACCGTTGAGTATCACAGAACACCGTTCCTTGTGGTAATTGGCCGGCCACCAGAAAAATCGCCGGTAGAGATCAAAACCACAGTAAGAGTGGACGAATTCAACTGGCAATCGAAACGATGGATCGGGTCAGATGTTCTGGTCTTCAACACAGGGCACTGGTGGAACGAAGAGAAAACCGTTATATCGTATGCAAAAATCCCTCAGCTTCTTTAAGAATTCAACGTTCTCCTTTTTAATCTGGGTTTCTGCTTTTTTTTTGGTGCAGAGGAAGCTATTTTGAGGAGGGAAGGAAAGTGAACAAGACAATGGGAGTAATGGAGGCATTTGGTAAGTCTTTGAAGACATGGAAGTCATGGGTTTTAAAAAGACTTGATCCTGACAAAAGTTATGTCTTCTTCAGAAGCTACTCACCAGTGCACTACAGGTCAGGAAAATATCAGACAAAGTTCTTATATTATGGTCGTGAGATCTAGACCAGAGTTTTGAACTAAAGAATCCTTGGATGTTGCAGAAATGGGACATGGAATTTGGGTGGTCTTTGTGACGCAGAGATAGAGCCTGAGACTGATAAAAGGAAGATGGAACCTGATGCGAGTCACAATAGATATATCTATGAAGCAATTGAGGAAATGAGATATCAACATAGTAAGGTTAAGTTTCTGAACATTACATATCTGACGGAGTTTAGGAAAGATGGTCATCCTTCTCNGTATCNNGNGCCGNGNACTCCNNTTGATGCTCCTCANGACTGCAGCCACTGGTGCTTACCTGGCGTACCTGACACATGGAATGAGATTCTCTATGTGCAACTCTTGTCTATGAACTATAGAACAAAGTGAATTTTTGAGGTATAGACTGGTTTTTGCTTCTTGATCTATTCATGATTCTGTTTCATCGATGCCTTCCTCAGGCTCTGTTTCATTTTGCATCTGTTTGACCTTCTCGAGCTGTCTTAATAGGTTCAACCTTTCAGGTCCGTATGTCGAAGGTATCTGTACAAAAAAAGATTTTTATCAACTTAACTC